TCTCCTGAAACTGGAGTTATAAGCGGCTGTGAGTCATCTGATATGGGTAGTAGGAACTACTTGGATCCCCTGCAAGAGCAGCATGGGCTCTTAACCACTGAGTGACCTCTCCAGGCCAAAACATACAAATTTTGTAAATGAAAAACATTAATAGGCAAAGGAACGATTTCTCCCAGGAACTCAGAGCAGGAGAAAAGGGTTGATTTTGTAAGGGAATGAAAATGATAGGTAAAAGCAAGAGATGAGTTTGCAAGTCTTTGGTTTTTTGAAAATATTTTATTTATTATTTTTATTTTATGTGTATGAGTGTATGTGTAAGTGTACCCATGTCGTGCAATGCCTGCAGAAGTCAGACAAGGGCATTAGATCTACCTGGAACTGGAGTTAGAGATGTTTGTTAGCTGCCATGTGGGTGGTAGGAATCAAATGGGTCCTCTGCAAGAAATCTTAACTGCTGAGCCATCTCTCTAGACCCAGGACTTTGCTTACATTGCATGTCAATACCAATCTAAGGAAAGGCTACTCCTTTCTGGTAAGACATACATCTTTCCAGCGGGGTGTGGTGGCACACACCTTTGCTCCCAGCATTTGGGAGGCAGAGGCAGGCGAATCTCTGTGAGTTCAAGGCCAACTTGGTCTACATAGTGAGTTCCAGAGCAGCTGGGGCTACAGGGAGACCCTGTCTCAAAATCCCCCCCACAAAAAAATACATTGCTCTTTTCTTAAAGATTCATTTTTTAAAAGTCAGGTGTGGTGGTGCACGCCTTTAATCTCAGCACTCGGGAGGCAGAGGCAGATGGATCTCTGTGAGTTCAAAGCCAGCCTGGTCTACATAGTGAGTTCCAGGACATCTGGGGCTACAGGGAGACCCTGTCTCAAAAAAGATGAAAAAAATTCATTTTTAGTTTTGCTCTAATTTTTAGTATACTTTGCTGCAGTGGCAGAATCCTTGTACCTCTCCTAAGGTGAACTAGGAAAGGGGCAGGCTTTCCTTAGAAGCCCATTTTACCAAAAATTCAGTCTAAGTTGAGGTATAAAATACAAGAATAGGCATATGGGTTTAAGTATCCCTAAAGTTGAAAAGTTGACCAGAGGAAAGGGTACCAGCACTCAGTGAGTGCTCCCCTGAGGAGGAAGTCTTTGAAGTTGCTTTAGCCTGGCCTAGCTAGGATTCCCCATTGTCCCTTATATCTTGTTTTTGGGATCCTGAATTGGCCCATCCCCCCTTCTTTTTATTTTATTTTAAAATATTTTATTATTTTTTATTTTATGTGTATGAATGTATTGCCTGCACTCATGAGAGTGCACCCATGTTGTGCAATGCCCACAGAGGTCAGAAGAGGGCATTGGATCCCCTGAAACTGGAGTTAAAGGCAGTTGTTAGCTGCCATGTGAGTGCTGGGATTTGAACCTGGGTCCTCTGCAAGAGTGGAGAGTGCTCTTCTAACCACTGAGCCATTTCTTCAGTCACCCCCCTTCATTTTATTCATCTGTGTGTGTGTGTGTGTGTGTGTGTGTGTGTGTGTGTGTGCATGTATACCCATGCCTGAGCAGTCTTCATAATGCACATGTGGAGGTCAGAGGACAGCTTGTAGGAATTGGTTTTCTCCTTCTACCATGTGGTTCCCAGTGATCAAACTCAGGTTGCCAAGTTTGATGGCAAGTGCCTTTACCAGTTGAACTATCTAATCAGCCCTCAATTGTTGTCCCTCCTTAAGATTTAAAATATTATAGGAAAAAGTGAAGCTATCTGGGCTTTGTTGGGACCCAGTAAAGGAATGTCATTTCCTCCTTGTCTAAAAGAATGGATTCTGAGTTCTACCTCTGGTCCTGAGTGGAGACATTCAGATCTTCCCTAAAGATTAGAACATTATATGCTATTGTCCCATTTTTTAAGAGTTAATGTAATTGGGGTTGGATGTGGTAGTGCACACCTTTAATCCCAGTACTCCAGAGGCAGAAGCAGGTGGATCTCTGTGAGTTCAAGGACAGTCTGTCTCCTTTATATACTGAGGTCCAGGCTACATAGTGAGACCCTGTCTCAGAGAACAAAAAGCAAGCAAGCAAGCAAGCAAACAAACAAAGAGTTAATCAAATTGAGTCTGTCTCTTACCTGACCACAAGGTTGCTCCTCAGGAAAGCTGGTTCACCTTAAAACATGATACAGATTTGGGAGGAGTAATTACCCTCTTAATGAGATAATATATCCCTGAATCCCCTCTCTTGAGGCAGTTACTCACAGATCTTGAGTGCCAAACCTGATTTTCTGAGTTCTAACTCAAATGTGTAACTTTGTCTTTTCCCTTTTCTATCTCTTCTTTGACTATCAGCCAAAATCCTAGACATGCTTTCCCTGACACACTAGACGTTCTCTGTTTCTTTGAAGGCCCAGGCCTCCCATAACTGCTTTAAAAACCTCTATTACTGACCCTAGTTCAAAAGGCATGACTTTCTCTCTTCTCCATCTCCAATCCTGGCAACTGCTAAGATTTTCATTTTGCTTGCCTTGTTATTTTTCTCTAAAAACTCTAATAAGATGGTCCTCAAGCTTTCTTCTGAGTTCACTTTTAAAGTGTTTTATAAATGAGAATAAGAACCCAAAAAGTGAACCCTGAAACACTTTTTACCCTGGTACTTTTGATTTGTCACCATCATTCCTAGCATGCCATTTTGGTGGCCTGGACAGAGAATTCTCTCTTGCTCGTGAACTTCCTTATGGTATAGGCAGATCTTCATATATACAACTGGAGATCTCTGATGTTCCTGTCCAGTGAGACTCATCAAGATAATTGCTTTTTTCCTTTACATATAACATGATAATCCCATAGCCATTTTGGAGTAGAGATTGCTGGGCCTGGTAGCCTTGGCAACTAATTGAGTAGACCAATACAATGATAGTCTATGATAATGGTAATGGCTCTACTGACACCCCCTAGTAGGAATAAGAGCTTTATTAGGAGATGGGGTCCTCAAGGAGGAGAATAGGCATTCAGGTTCAAAGGGTTTCTTTCGGAGGGAAGAGTTTCATACCACATGATCTAACTGTACAGCCCAGTGATCCGACTTTGGGTGTATTCTGAGACTTCAGATATGACAAAGGAGTGTCCCCTCCTTCCAGTCCTGGCCAGTCCCCAATTTCATGCTGTCTGTTTATACATCCTTCATCTCCTCTCTCGCCTTAAGCTGTGATTTGATCTAACCTTATCTCACAGGCCAGGCTTGTCCCAATGGTACTTCTCCCTTACTTCCTTTTACACTTCAGTCATAATGGTTGACTCTGGTCACTCTGAGGGACAATTCCTGTGAACACCACCAAAGGCCTTTGTCTTAGTCTATTCCTGCTGCATCCATCTTCCTGCTTGGTCCCTCTTCTGTTCTCCAGTTCAGCCTCTGCAACTCACACTGGCAGCTCTCTGCCTTGGCTGAAGACTGCCCTTGGTGCTACATCCAGTGCCCATGGGCAGGATCTGGTCTCTCCAACATTTCCTTCAGACTCAATCATGACCTCCCTAGCACTCAGATTGTTGGATCTCATGTCCATAACTTTGCTGACATCACCTCCTTGCAGAATACATTTCTTACTTTTCTGTCACACAGCTGGAGTCATCTCCTTCAGAAAGCCTTCCAGAAAAAAGTCCACCTCCATTGAGTGCCTTTCCCAGAAGTGGCTATATTCTCTGGGCCCTTTTCTAACACTTCAGGCAGCAATTAGAGTTAATCTAGAACAACATTTCTTTCATCTATTTTCTTCTCTTACCTTCCTTCTTTCCTCCCATCCTTCTTCCTTCCTTCCCTTCTCTCCTTTCAGACAGGGTCTTGCCACGTGGACCAGAATGGCCTGGAACTCAAGACCTCCTGCCTCAGCTTCCCAAGTGAATCACCATTTCCAACTCCAACTTCCTTTTTCACGAGGAACCATCTTCAGCAGCATCTTTTCCTCACAGTTCCCCTTTAGGACACTGCAGTCTTACTCTGTGGCCCTGGAACTCACTATGTGGATCAGGCTGGCCTTGAACTCACAGAGATCTGCCTGCCTCTGCCTCCTGAGTGTTGGGATTAATGGTATGTACCACCAAGTCCAGTTACAGCCTCTTTTGAAACTACAATGTGGGACCCTCAACTCATCTGTGAAGAGGCTCTACAGCTCAAATCTTGGATGCTGCTATAGGGATGGACCCTCAGAGTGGGATCATCTTGGAGGTGAGTAGAGAAAAGTGAATGCCTAAAGTCTCCTTAGGACAGCTGGGGACAGGGAAGTTTTGGGATTGGAAATCTGATTCACTCCAGAATCTCAGAAAACGGGAAAATTAACACCTGTTTATAAAGCCTTTTCCTGTCTTCTCTCTTCGGACCAGTGGGGGTGGGGTTGGACTCTTTAGATGTGTAGTCTACTTAAGAAAAGTACAATGAGGGCTGGATAGAGGGCTCAAAGGTTAAGAGCACTGGCTGCTTTGCTGAGGATCCGGATTCAATCCCCAGCACCCACAGGGGGCCAACAACCATCCCTAACTCCAGTTCCAGAGGACCTGAAGCCCTCCTCTGACTTCTGAGGGCACTGCACGACATGGGTGCACTTACATACATACATGCAGGCAATACACACATACACATAAAATAAAAATAGTAAGTAAAATATTTTAAAAAGAGAAGGAACAAGGGAATGAATGAATGAGTGGAGGGAGGGAATACGATATACCAAGGGAGGGAGGGACGGTAAGAGGAGGAAGTAGATTTACACTTCCAAAAGGCATTCGTTCCTTGTTCACTCATTCATTCGTTCCGCCACTCCAGGTGGTAGGCGCAGTGCCAGATGAGGAGGCGACCTTCAAGGTGGTCCTTCTCTAAAAGCCACCACAGTCCCGCAGTCCCCCGGCCGCACTTCAGCCCTGCCCCGCCGGCGCCCCCTGGCGTCCACTTGCGCCGGCGCGGTGCCCCACGTGACCACCAAGGCTCCGCCCTGTCTCCCGCTTCCTGAGAGTGCGGCCTCAGCTTGCGGCAGCACCAGGTCAGCTGTGAGGCGTGGGCTGTGTGGGCCTGGCGGGCTGCTTCGCGGAGCTCCGGCTGCAAGCTCTGGGCAGCGGCGGCAGACAGGCGGCGGCCTCCGGGTGGGCGAGGGGCGAGGCAGGACGAGGATTGGCGCAGGCCGGAGGCGCGGGGGCGGCGGCCCGAGCGAGCCGGAGGCCTGACGTGGCGGGGCCGGCGGGCACGACCCCCGGGCATCCGGGCTCTGGCCGCTGGCTCTATGGCGGGGGCCGTGGGTCGCGGGCCTCCGCGCGGATGGGGAGAACGATGGTCCTTGCCGTCAGGCCGGTCGGGCCCTGTCGCCGACTGAGCGTGGCCTCCCTCCGGGGACCGCGACCCTCGGTGTTGCGCGAGTGGGACCTGCAACAGGCGGGCGGGGCGGGCCTGGCAACCGCGGGCCGCGTGACCTCGGACTTGAGGCGAGCGTGGGTCCCGGAGCGGAGTCTCAGGGCTATGGTCGAGGGCGGGGGCTGTTGCCGGACAGCCCGGGAGAAGCCGTGGCGCTCACGCTGTCAGTGCGGAGTCGCCTAGGCCGTGAAGAATCGACCTCATCCTGGTCGCATTGCTTAGATCGTTTTAGATACTGCGCTGGCAGAACGAACGAACCCGGGCCAGGCGCGGTGGGGCGCCACCCTTTGCTTGGGGCTGCTTCGCGGGTCAGGCCTGGCGCACGGAGATGCTCCTAATCTGCGCCATGGGAAGACAGTCCACAGAGCGAGGGCGCACCGCTTGGAGGTTCCTACCCTCATAGATATTTGCACCCGCTCGCTCTTCTTTTCTAAGCTGCCCCCTTTTCCTTTGTTGCTCATGTTATTGCCAAGGATTAAGATGCGTTGAGGACAGATACTGGTTGATTTGGGTCTTAGGATTGAGGATATCTTTTCAGTAAATGATGAAGATTCCTCTAAAATGTTTTTCTGTGCACAACTGTTTGCAGTAGCAAACAATGGGAGGAAACACAGCTGTCTTGACTAGGATTGGTTATATAAAACGTGTATACATACGATGGCCTGTGGGAACTGTAGGGAGTTATAAGAAAAGCTAATGGAAAGCAGGGAGGAATATTGCAGATCGGCATTCATTAGTCTCGCTTTCAGTACCTCCTATAAGAGGACGTAGGAAAGTGAGGTAGTGGCTTTGTATAGGGGAGGAACTGGTTGGGACATGAGGGAAAGGCAAGTTTAATTTTGTGATATTTACTTTTATACCTTTTGAATTTGAGTCATGTAGCCGTGTCTTTAGTCCCAGCACTCAGGAGGCAGAGGCAGGTGGGGCTCTGTAAAACAGAGGCCAGCCTGGTCTACCTAACTAGTTTAACGCCAGCAGGGGCTACAGGCAACCTTGTCTTCAAAAAACAAAAACAGCTGGTCGTGGTGTCTCAAAAAGCCCCCCCCCCCAAAAAAAATTCGTTGAGACTAGAGAGATGGTTCAGAGAGCTTACTGCTCTTGAAGAAGACCTGGGTTCATTCAGTTCCTAGTACCTACATGGCAGCTCACAACTGCCTGTCTAGTTTCAAGGGATTTGGCACCCTCTTCTGGCCTCTCCAGGCTCCTGTATGCATGTAGTGCACATTAACTCACATAGGCATACGCACAGAAATGAGTATAAATTGTGTGTGTGTATAATATATTTATATATAATTGTTGTATGTGTACACGATGTGCATGGGGTAGGAGGGAGTTTCCATGGCCCTTGAGCAGAGGTCAAAGGACAGCTTTCCTAGAGTCCAATCTCTACTTCCATCCTTAATGTTGTATCTGGTGATTGAACTTAGGTCTCTAGGTTTCTACAGCAAACCTCCTTTACTTGCTGAGCCATCTCTCACTGGCCCTGTTTTTCATATTTGCTTTGAAAGACAGTAGGGAATTGGGGTGGGAAAGTGAGGTAGCATGAGGAGAAGGTAGATGTTTATGGCCTTCTGAATGACTGTTCTGTGCTAAGAAAGCATGTGGTTGGTCAAAGGCTACATCTTAGTATCCAGACTGGCCACTTCCTGGCCTCAGGTAGCTGGCTGTGCACAGTTGTTTATGGTTCATTCTTAGTGTATGTGTTGGCAAAAGGGTGTTTGTAGTAGATTTGTTTTCCTGGTTGAGTTTCTAAGGCTTCTTTTTAAATCAGTTTGCAGTTTTTGAGCATTATGATCAAATTATTAGAAGGTAATTTTTCTTTTGAGGCAGGGTCTCCTGTAGTCCAGGTTAGCCTCAAACTCCCTATTCAGCCAAGGATGACCTTGATCTCTTAATTCCCATCCTCTATCCCCTAAGTACTGGAATTACGGATCTGTGCCACTAAACCCGACTTAGAGGATAATCTTGACCTTAAAATGTGTGATGTGGCTACATAGTGAGTTCCAAACCAGCCAGGGCTACGTAGTGAGACCCTGCCTCAATAAATACATATTTAAATAAATAAAAAATACATTAAATAAATAAAAAAACAATAGCTAGTTATGATTTTGTGATTTTTTTTCTTTTTGAAGCAGGGTCTCCCTGTAGCCCCAGCTGTCCTGAACTCACTGTGTAGATCAGGCTGGCCTTGAACTCACAGAGGTCTGCCTGCCTCTGCCTCCCAAGTGCTGGGATTAAAGGCGTGCGCCATCACACCTGGCTGATTTTTTTTTTTTTTTTTTTTAAAGACAGAGTTTTCCTGCAGCTCAAGCTGTGCAGGAACTGACTATGTAGACCAGACTGGCCTTGAATTGAGATCCACCGACCTTTGCCTCCCAAGTGCTGGGATTAAAGGTGTGCACCACCGCCTGAAAATTTTGTGATTTTTTTTTAAGTTGCAGTCATCAAAGGATATCATTTACAGTCCAGATAAAGCAAAGTTTGAAAATTAAGTTATGGAGGCTGGGCGTGGTAGTGCACAGTTTGAGTGTCCAGCATACCTGTAACCCCAGCTCTGAGGGAGGCAGAGGATTGCTGAGTCTTGCTTGCTTCCAGCCTAGCTCAGATATGAGCCCCAGGTTCAGGGAGAGACCCTGCCTCAAAGGAATATGTGAAGAGTTTGGTAGAGAACACTTGAAGCTCTTTTCTGGCATCTCTGCGTGTGTACCTGTACATATATGCACATACATAATTTTTTTTTTTGTCTTTTTGAGACAGGGTCTCCCTGTAGCCCCAGCTATCCTGGAACTCACTATGTAGACCAGGCTGGCCTTGAACTCACAAAGATCCACCTGCCTCTGCCTCCCAAGTGCTGGGATTAAAGGTGTGCACCACCACACCCGGCACATACATAATTTTGGGTGGGGGTCTTTTTGAGACTGGGTTTCCCTGTAGCTCCAGCTGCTCTGAAACTTGCTGTGTAGACCAGGCTGGCCTCAAACTCACAGAGATCCGCCTGCCTCTCCCTCCCAAGTACTGGAATTAAAGGTACGCACCACCATGCCTGGCTTCATACACAGTTTTTAAAAATTAAGTTAAAGAGTGGGCTTATTACTCATTTTGGGGTTAATTATTTTTCTTAAAGAATTTCCTTTGTACATGAAATTGTAAAGTGGTTTATAAGGTGCATTGTTCAGGGTTAGGGATAAGAAAGGAGTGTTGCCCAGTGTGGTGGTGTATGCCTTTAGTCCCAGGCAGAGACAGGTGGATCTCTTTGAGTTGTAAGGCCACTACAAGGAGACCCTGTTTCAAAAAGACTTTAAAAAAAAAAAAAAGAAAATGCTGATAAAAGATAAACTCAAAGACTTCATACATTTAGCCTTAAGCAAAGTTCATTGGCTGTTTTAACACTCTTGTTTTAGATATCTCTCAGAAAGGGGATTATTGTCTCTAGGCTATCCTTGGTGTTTTGTCAGTTGTGTTGAAGTTTTTAACTTTCAGCCAATGAGAAACATAAACCTGTTGGGGGTGAGAGGCTGCTTTTTCTTCCCATGTTCTTTTTTACGTCTTTCTATCCTCCCTGAGTCTTCTCCTAAAACCCTTCTCCCCCTACTTCCTGTGCTAGGTATCACAACTTAGGTCTTACATGTGCTAGGCAAGTGAGGCCTATCTTAGAGTGATCCTCTTACAATTTTATTTTGAGACAGGGTCTCTCTAAGTTATCTAGGCTGGCCTGGAATTTGTGATCCTCTTGTCTCAGCCTCCCAAGTAGCTTGATGGGATGAAGAACCTTGGGGGACTAAAGAGACCCAGGTTATGAGAAAGAAGGCCAAGTGTGACCAGGGCTGGGAGAAAACAGGGAATAGAGGCTTTGGGTTCACAGGAAAGCCACAGGTGAGTTGGAGGAAGTCGTAGCAGCAAGTGCCACAAGGTGCAAAGCTGTCAGCCTGTACGTGGCTCCAGTGCCACCTGTCTGCTCACTCCTTGTTCCCTCTATCTTGCAGCTGACTACAGTGGTGAGGGCTGGTGTGGTTGTCAGGATGGCAGAGGAGCAGGAGTTTGCGCAGCTCTGCAAGCTGCCCACACAGCCTCCCCACTCGCATTGTGTCAGCAACACCTATCGAAGTGCGCAGCACTCCCAGGCCTTGCTCCGGGGGCTCCTTGCTTTGCGGGACAGTGGCATCCTCTTTGATGTTGTCCTGGTGGTAGAGGGGAGACACATCGAGGCTCATCGCATCCTGCTGGCTGCATCCTGCGATTACTTCAGGTAAGCTATTTATACCTATTTTTCAAAATGTTTTTATTAGCATATATTACTTGTATATTGTGTATATATATCTTTTTGAAACAGGGTCTCCCTGTAGCCCCATCTGGTCTGGAACTCATTGTGTAGACCAGGCTAGCCTTGAACTCACAGATTTAATAATAGGTTTTACTGTGACATTTCCATACATGTATGTAATGTTTTGATCATATCCCCAGGACTCCCTCTTGTTCCACCCCCACTGATCCCCTTCTTCCCAACTAGTCCCTCTCTACTTTCTTATTTCCTAAAAAATTTTTTTGAATTTATACATGGGTAAGTATACAGAAGCATAAACACCTTGCCAGTGGCTATTCCACTTAAGAAAATGTCTCTCCCTCCCTCAGCAACCATTAACTGACTATAGATCCTCAAGGAAGGAAGGGGCATCATGAACCCCTCTCCTTATAACTTTTTCTAAGGCTGGATCACAGGTCATCCTGACTTCACTAGGCAGGAGTGCTGGCACTTAAGGTGACTTGGTCTGCTTTCCTTGGAGTCTCTCCTGCTGTCTGCTGTGGAGACTCCATCAACAAGCCTGATACAGAAGAGGTTTGTACTTCAGTTTGGCTCTCTGTTGGGAATGTTCTCTGTTTTCAGAACTTAATCATGATTAACTTTACTTGTACTGTTCTGTTTTATAAAATGAATGTTCTACTGCAAATGCAGTATCTTTGTGAGAAACAGGTTTAGTTTTCACTTTACTCTAAATTTAAAATCTATGGAAGTTGAAAGAATAGTGTGTAATGAATTACAGAATACATAGTAATTACTAATATTTTGCCATACTGCTTTCTGTTTTTACACACACACACACCTGCTTTATTTATTTATTTATTTTTTGATCTTTTTGAGACAGGGTCTCCTGGTAGCCCCAGCTGTCCTGGAACTCACTATGTAAGCTAGGCTGGGCTTGAACTCACAGAGATCCACCTGCCTCTGCCTCCCGAGTGCTGGGATTAAAGGCGTGTGCCACAACGCCCGGCCAGTATACACCTGCTTTTAAGATATTTTAACAGTTTACCTTGAGTCCTTCACTACCCCTCACCCATTATAATGCTAGCTCTAAGAGGTTCACGTGAGCCATGGTTTCTCTCCTCTGGTACCCTCTGAATACTATGGTCCAAAGCTGGGGAGTTATTACTGTATATATATATTGTCCACATATCTACATGATGCCAACAGTTACCCTCTGTTTTATAGCTACCATCCTCAGGTGTTGTCAGCCTCTGGCCTTCCTAATAGGCTTTATAATCCCTCCAGTGTTTGTTATGGCTTCCTGTATGATTATATGTCAGTACTTGGCACATTAGGAAGAACTGGGGTTTGTGTGTCTCACATACTAGGGCTGGAATCTGTCACTTCTGTTGCAATTCCTAACTTATGTTATTAGTCAACATTCTCCATTCAGATAGAGCCAACACAATATCAATATATTGGAGATTAGAAAATCTCCAATTGACTCATGGTTGTGGAGATTGAGAAATCCTGTGACAAGCCACTTATGAGTGGAAGACCTTGAGATATCAATAGGTGTAGTTCAGGGAAAATCTGAAGACCTTTGAACCAGGAAGGCCAACAGTGTAATTCTCAGTCTAAGGTTCAAGGCCTGAGAACCCCAGGGAGTTTGGTGTAAGTCCAAAGTCAGAGAGCCTGAGTTCAGATGTCCCAAGGAAGTAGACAAAAATATGTCTTCCCATTCAGTCCACTGACTTTCACACCAATCTCCTCTGGAAACAGGTATTCCTCTAGGTATTCCTTCATCTAGTCAAGTTGACACCTAAAATTAACCATCACAGTGGTCATGACACAAATATTCAATAGCCATGGCTTTTTTTCTATGTGCATTATTTTTATTTTATGTGTACGTGTGTATTGCCTGCATGTAAGTAAGTGTACCCGTGTCGTGCAATACCCGCGGAGGTCAGAAGAGGCTGTTGGATCCCCTAGAACTGGAGTTATGCACAGTTGTTAGCTGCCATGTGGGTGCTGGGATTTGAACCCAGGTCTTCTGCAAGAACAACCAGTGTTCTTAACCGCTGAGCCATCTCTCCAGCCCCTCTATGTGTATTTTATATGTGTATAAGTGTTGGTGTATGTGTGCACACATGTATATACTCAACACTGGATATCTTCCTCAACCCCTTTCCACTGTATTTTTGTGGGGGTTTTTTTGAGACATGGTCTCTTGCTGAACGTGGACTCACTGATTAATCTAGACAGGCTGGCCAGCAAGCCCCAGGGATCTTCTTGTCTCTGTTGTCCCAACATTGGCTTACAGGGACATGCTACCATGTCTGGCTTTTTCTTCATGCTTATGCAGCATGTACTTTACTAACTAAGCCATCTCCCAGCTCCTGTTTTGTTGTCTTAATCCCAGCATTCGGAAGGCAGAGGCAGGCGGATCTCTGTGAGTTCAAGGCCAGCCTGGTCTACAGTGAGTTCCAGGACAGCTGGGGCTACAGGGAGACCCTGTCTCAAAAAAAAAAAAAAAAAAAAAAAATGCTTTCTCTTTGTTAAAACTGTTTATTCTTACCATGTCTGTCATCTTGACTTCAAACCTGATATTCATTTTCTTTTGGTCTAGACCCTCAGATGTTATTTTTTTATTAACTTTTTAAAATTTATTTTTATTTTGGGGCTGGAGAGATGGCTCAGTGGTTAAGAACGCTGGTTGTTCTTGCAGAAGACCTGGGTTCGAATCCCAGCACCCACATGGCAGCTAACAACTGTCTGTAACTCCAGTCCCAGGGGATCCGACAGCCTCTTCCAACCTTCCAGGGCATTGCACGACAGGGGTGCACTTACCTACATGCAGGCAATACACACATACACATAAAATAAAAATAATATATTTTTTAAAATAAAATATAAATAAATAAATAAAATAAAGGGCTGGAGAGATGGCTCAGCAGTTTAAGAGCACTGCTCTTGCAGAGGACCTGGGTTCAATTCCCAGCACCCACATGGCAGCTAACAGCCATCCATAACTCCAGTTCCAGGGTGTCTGACCTCCTTGTGCATGGCACGGCACTTACACTCATACACATAAAATAAAAATAATAAATAAAATGTTTTTTTAAAGTAGGGATTGGGATTTAGCTCAGTGGTAGAGTGCTTAGCAAGTGCAAGACCCTGGGTTTGGTCCTCAGCTCCAAAAATAAAAATTTTTTTTTAAAAAGTGATAAGTACACCATGCATATGCAGTGCCCACAGAAGCCAGAAGAGGACATCAGATCCTCCATCAGATGGATTTCAGGGTGGCTCTTAACCTCCATGTTGGTGCTGGGAACTGAACCCAGGTCCTTTGCAAGAGCAGCAAATGCTCTTAACTTCTGAACCATCTCTCCACCTACGAGTCTCTTATTTTTGAAGTTCTTGGTTCAGAGTTTTGCCTTCTGATCAGACATGGTAAAGGTGACAGCAAGTGGCCTCAGATAGGGAGAACCCCTCTCTGGAGCTTACAAATCTTATCTCCCACCTTCACCATTTAAAAAAGGATTTAAAAAATATTTTTCTGTATGTGTGTGTGTGCACATGTGAACATGCATGTAGCACTGTATACATGTAGAGGTCAGCGGACAGCATGCAAGAATTGATTCTCTCCTGTCTTGTGGGTCCCTGAGTAGCAAGCATTTTTACTTGCTAAGCCATCTCACTGGCTCTTGTCCTACCATTTTTTTTTTTTTAATGTGTATGTGTATATTGCCTGCATGTTAGGTAACTGTACCCGTGTCGTGCAGTGCCCATGGAGGACAGAAGAGGCTGTTGGATCCCCTGGAACTGGAGTTACAGACAGTTGTTAGCTGCCATGTGGGTGCTGGGAATCGAACCTGGGTCTTCTGCAAGAACAACCAGTGTTCTTAACCACTGAGCCATCTCTCCAGCCCCGATGTCCCACCATTTTTAACTGGACAGTTCTGTACTGTTAAGCACAGTTACACTATTGTGGAAAGTCTCTGAAGGATTTCTTGAAAAATTGAAACTATACTCACTAAACTGTAGTTCCTCATTATTTCCTCCTCACCTGCCCTGGGAACTACCATTTTACTTTCTATTTCTACTGATTTGACCACTCTAGGTACCTCCTGATAGAATCACACAGTATGTGTCTTTGAGACAGGTTTATTTCACTTAGCAAAATGTGACAGTATTTCCTTCCTTTTTAATGCTGAATGATATTCCACTGTGAGGAAATGTCACTTTTTATGTTTTTTTGTTTGTTTGCTTTTTGAGGTGGGAGTGTTTCTGTATTCCTAGCTGGTCTGGAACTCTCAGTGTAGACCAACCAGGCTGGCCTTGAACTTAGTGAGATCTGCCTGCTCTGCTGGGATTAAAGGCCTGTGACACCACACCTTACCTCCACTTTTTGTTTATCCATTTATTTGTTTTTGGGTATTGGGGCTGCTTCTACTTTTTAGCTGTTGAGATTGGTGCTGCTATGAACATGTGTATGTGATCTTTGAGATTATTTTCACTTAGCTCTTTTGACCAGATTGACTAGACATCAAAAAGTGGGATAGGTGGATCCATTTGATAATTATGATTTTAATTTTCTGAGGAATCACCATAGAAGTTGCACCATTTTACATTCCTACCAACAATGCCCAGTGGTTCTGATTTCCCCATGTCCCCGTCAACACTTGTTACTCTCCCTGCCTTCCTTCTTTTCCTAATGGTGGTTGCTTTTGTTTTTGCCATGCTTGAGAATTAACCCAGGGCCTCACTCATGCTAAGCAAACATTCTACCACTCAATTATATCCCCATCCTCCTTTTAAAATTTATATTTTTACCATAATTTGAGTTATGAGAAAGTTGTAAATGTATAAGAATGAAATGTTCATTTCTGAGCCTGATATGGCAGTACCAGTCTATAATCTCAGCACTCAGGAAGCTGAGTCATGAGGATTGTGAGTTTTAGGCCAGCCTGGGTTACCTAGGAAAATGCTGTTGCAAAACAGAGGAACAAAATGAATAAATGTCCATTTGGGGGTGAGGGGTCCTAAACTCACTATGTAGACCAGGGTAGCCTTGAACTCTGCCTCCTGAGTGCTGGGATTAAAGGTGTATGCCACCACGCCCGGCTTAAAATAAATGCCCATTTTTTAAAAACGTTAATTTTTGGTAAAAGTGAAAACAAAAAGGAAGCCAGGCATGGTGGTGCACACCTTTAATTCCACCACTTGGGTGGCAGAGGCAAGGGAATCTCTGTGAGTTCAAGGCCAGCCTGGTCTACATAGTGAGTTCCAGGCCAGCTGGGGCTACAGGAAGATCCTGTCTCAAAAAGACAAAAAAAAAAACAAAAAACAAAAAAAAAAACACCACACACACACTCAAAGGATTAGCTGAATATGTTATTTTTGTTTGGGGAATTTTTTTCTACCTGAATTTTATTTTTGAATGATGTTGATCCTTTAGAACAGTTGAAAGGCAAGCACAGTGAACATCTGTGCCTTTAGCCTAGATTCATCGGTTATGTACATTTTGTAAGATTCATTTTAGAGGAACTGCAGACACCATGACATTTTATTTGTTTCTAAATACTTCAGTGTGTCTAAGGATGTTCTCTTACACATTTATAATACCATTTTGAGTCTAGGAAAATTTAGTTGGGTTGGGGATACACCTTAGTTGGTAGAATGCTTGCCCAGCTTGCATAAAGCCCTGGGTTTGATCCCTAGTATTACATAAACTGGGCAAGGTGGTAATTGGGTGGTAGAGTCAGGAGGAGTATCTTCAATTACATACTGAGTTTGAGTTCTAGGCCAATCTAGGCTACATGAGACTATCTCAAAAAAAAAAAAAAAAAAAAACCCCAAAATCCCCCAAAACCCCTACACAAACAACCCAGACCAAAAAGGGAGGAAATAAAGTTTATAATCATTTTATATTTTTCCTGATATTGAATCTATATTCTGATTTTTAAAATAGTCTTTAAACTGTCTTAGTCTTCCCCCCTCCTCTTCCTCAATTCTAGATCTAGTCAAAAGTCCATGCAGTGGATCCTTTCTATTGTTCATTCTTTCTTTTTTTCGGAGGTGGTGGTAGTAGAGGGACAGAATCTCATGTAGCCCAGGCTGGTCTTCAACTCTTGATTCCTTGACTGGGATTACAGGTGTGTATTACCATGTATAGCTTTAATTTTGGGTTTTTCAGGTAAGATTTTAGTTTTTAGCTCAAGCTGGCCTCATAGTCACTGTGTAGCCCAGGCTGATTTCAAATTTGCAGCAATTGCCTGCCTCAGCCTTCCACGTGCTGGAATAATTACATGTGTAAACCACTCATCAGCTAGTAGTTGTTTGTATCTGTTGAGACAAGGTCTTGGTTTGTAGCCTTGGCTGGTCTGGAACTTGCTGTGTTGACAACAAGCCTGGCCTAAAACTTGGCAACATTTCTAACACTGGGGGTGGTGATCTGCACCTTTAATCCCAGCCCTAGGGAGGCAGAGGCAGGAGGATCTCTATGAGATCAAAGCCAGTATGGTCCACATAGCAACTTTCTTGTGGGCTGTGACTAGGGGAGACCCTGGCAAAAAAAACAAAACAAAACACCAAAGCTAAACAGAAAACAACAAAAAAAAACTGGGAGCATTTTTCCAACTTCTGTTTCTTGAGAGTTGGGATTATAGGTCTGTGTCACACAGTGATCCTTTCTTATGGTAGTTGAATCTGTGTCCGCCCAAGTGCCCACACCTGCTCAGGGGGCAGTGCTCATGGTGTTCCTGCTGTTGCCAGCCCCCTGGAGGTCTGGACAGAGGAATCAGACAAGGGAAGTACATGCAGTAGCACAGTTCTGGGAAGTCTAGACCACTATAAAATGGTGGGGAAACTACAAGAGGCTGGCTAAATGCAGAGTAAAATGTTAGTAAACTTAACTGACTTGTGTTTGGTCTATAGGACTTTGGGGGTTTGTTAGGCCTCTGAAGAGACCCTCAAGGCTTTCTAAGTCATGTTGCTCAAAGGATGTAATTTGCAACAAGGATTAAATCTTAATCAAAGCTTAAGATAAAAATAGGTCCAGTATGATAGTTCAGTGGGTAATGGCTCTTGCCACTAAGCCTGGAGACTTCAATTTGATCCCTGGGGCTCACATGGTGGAAGGAGAAAACTAACTCCTGCAAGTTGTCCTCTAACCTCCACGTGTGTGCTGTGGCACACAAGCACATACACTCAAGAATTAATAAATAAAGAAATAAGCTGGTTTATATTTACTTATTTCTCTTAAAGAATTTACTTTGTTTTTTGTTTTGTTTTTTGAGACAGGGTTTCCCTCTAGCCCCAGCTGGTCTGGAACTCATTATGTAGACCAGGCTGGCCTTGAGTTCACAGAGATCTCTGCCTCCCAACTGCTGGGATTAAAGGTGTGCACCACCACATCTGGCAAGAATTTCCTTTTATAAATGAAATTGTGAAGTGGTTTTATGTGGTGCATTGTTTAGATTTAGGGAGAGAGTGGGGAGCTAATACTATAATGCTCAAGGTTGAACATTCTGAACATTCATTTATTGTTTTTAACATCTTTGAGATGTCTTTAGGAACTATCTCTGTAGGAAAAGTGCATGTAGGGTTCCCAGGAGCCTGAGCAAAGGGAGCCAGGTGTTTCTAGTGCTCAGGCTTGGTCAGGCTCCTTCCATGGACTGCCCCCTTTGCAGACTGTTTATTCAGAGCACAGAGCAGTCAGCATGCAGACTGCCATCCAGCTCTGCCACTAGCATTTGGTCCTTTCTGAATGTTTTTTGTGGTATAATTAGTATCCTGACTCCAAATGCCTTGTCTCTTTGCCTTGCAGAGGAATGTTTGCTGGAGGATTGAAGGAGATGGAGCAGGAAGAAGTCCTGATCCACGGTGTGTCCTACAATGCCATGTGCCAAATCTTGCATTTCATATACACTTCTGAACTAGAACTCAGCCTGAGCAATGTGCAAGAGACCTTGGTTGCTGCCTGCCAACTTCAGGTGAGGCTTACCCTGTTGAGCAAGGCAGACTCATACACCACGGGAGTTTCCCCTAACACCTATGATGGCTGCTGGACAGCTGCATTGGTATGAGGTAGGTCAAGAGGGCAAGGACATCAAGCAGTGAGGAATGGCACAGAACAGAGAAGGCACCTTCATGTTGACCCTTGGCCCTGGCTTGCCCTCCTTCTGCCCTTGACCCTTTTTCCATAGTCTTACTTGTTTTGTTTTGTTTGAAATAGTGTCTCACTCTGTAGCCCAGGCTGACCTGGAACTTACTGTATAGCTTAGGATGGCCTTCAACTCACAGCAGTCCTCCTGTCTCAACCTCCAGAATGCTGGGATTACAGGCATGAGCAAGCATCCCTAGTTTGTCCTTTCATTTTTTTTTGGTTGCTTCCTTCCTCTGGCCTGATTGCTTTGCTAGGAAAATATCCTAACTTGGCCAACCCAACTTTTGTGATGGCCTGTGTGCTATGTTTTCTGGTGATACTGAGAATTCCTTGCCCTGCTGTGCACACAAGCCATTTCTGCTCACCAACTGTCATCTCTTATCATGTTGCTTATACAGGCCTTAAGTTCACAATCTGGCCTCAACTACCTGAGTAGCTGGGATTATAGGTACGTGTCAGTAACATGTAACAGTTTTTCTGTGAAACTGTTTCTCTTTCAAATGCATATTTTCCTTCACAACTCAGAAAATTTTCTGAGACTTCGATAATGTATTTTAGATTCTATGACTCTTGGTGGTATAGGTATTGGTTATAGAGGGCCTGCAGGTGTCTTTGACTTGCCAGTTAGAGACCCATTCTAACTGAGTCACCTCTTCTTTCTTGAAAATGATAGTGGGGCTGGAGATAAAGCTCAATTGGTTGAGTGCTAGCCTAACTAGCACAAGGCCCTGGGTTTGATCACTAGTTCTGTGTTAACAGAGCATGGTGGCACATGGCTGTAACGTCTGTACTCAGGAAGGCAAGAGTTGAAAGTCATCCTTGGCTACATAATGAGTTTGAGGCCAGCCTGGTGTGAGTTAGGGAAGGGAGGAGAAAGAGAAAAACAGCACTAAAAAATTGAATTTGGGGGCTGAAGAGATGGCTCAGTGGTTAAGAGCACTGGCTACTCTTCCAGAGGACCCAGGTTTGATTCCCAGCAACCACACAGCAGCTAACAACTATCAGTAACTGTAGTTGTAGAGGAATCTGACGCCCATTTCTGACCTCCATGGGCATTGCACGGCATGGGTGCACTTACATGCATACAAGCAATATATTCATATGCATAAAATAAAAATAAATTTTTTTTTTTGAGACAGGGTCTCCCTCTAGCCCCAGCTGTCCTGGAACTCACTATGTAGACCAGGCTGGCCTTGAATCACAGAGATCCACCTGCCTCTGCCTCCCAAGTGCTGGGATTAAAGGCATGCACCACCATGCCCAGCATAAATAAAATACTTTTTAAAAAACCCAGTGTGGTGGTAAGAAATCCCCATGCTGAACTCGCTCTGTAGACCAGGCTGTCCTTGAATTCACAGAGATCCACTTGCCACTGCTACCATATTATTATTATTATTATTATTATTATTATTATTATTATTATTGTTATTCGTTTGAAACTTTATGTAGACCAGATTGGCCTTGAATTCACAGAGCTCTGTTGACCTCTGCCTCCCAAGTGTTGAAATTAAAGGTGTGGATCAACACACCTATTATTATTTCTAATTTTTAATTTTTTTGGTTTTTTGAGACAGAGTCTTCCTGTATCCCCAGTTGGCCTAGAACTTACTATGTAGACCAGGCTGGCCTCAATCTTTCTCATAGAGGTCCACCTGCTTCTGCCTCCTGAATTCTGAGACTAAAGGCCTGTGCCACTACACCTGGCCAATTATTATGTTTTTAATTAATTTTTTTATATCTATTTATGGATTGGACAAGGGTATAGGAGCTATGGCATGTGTAGAAGTCAGAGGGAGTTGATTCTTTCCTTCTACCATGTGGGTCCCATGGATCAAAGTCAGGTTGTCAGGCATAGATAAAAGCGCCTTTACCTGCTGATCCTTCTCATAGGCCCTATTACTATTATTTAAATACTTTTTTATCCAGAGTGTAGGTTTTTGTTTTAATGTGATGCTCTATGTAAGCACTCTTCATCACCGAGCTACACTCCCCCCATGTACCTTACTGTTTAGTAAATAATCACAAAAGCTCTATATGTTAAGTACGATGTAAATAATCACAAAAGGTCTGTGTTCATACTCCCCCCAACTTGTCCTCTGACCTCAGAAAGTATGGTATGATACACATGCACCTTTTGGAAAGGTAGATTGTTCTAAAGAGTAACAAGGTGGTGGCAGGGAGTGGTCACGTGCCCCTTCTCAACAGGAATGTCTGACACAGTGACAGTTTGTGCTGTTTTTTGCTTTTCTGGAGTACTTTTGATAAGAGAGGTGCCAAAATCAGGAGTTCTGTGTCATGTGGTTTTTGTGCACACATCCTCAGGCTGATCTTCCTTACTTTATTGTTTTATAGATAAGAAAACTGAGAGGGTTAAGAATATGTCCTATGGGGCTGGAGAGATGGCTCAGTGGTTAAGAACACTGTTATGAACACTGGTTGTTCTTGCAGAAGACCTGGGTTCTAATCCCAGCACCCACATGGCAGCTAACAACTGCCTGTAACTCCAGTCCCAGGGGATCTGACAGCCTCTTCTGACCTCCGCGGGCATCGCACAACACGGGTGCACTTACCTACATGCAGGCAATACATTCATACACATAAAATTAAAAAAAAATAAATTAAAAAAAAAAAGTTCTATGTTTCCATACCAGGATTTAAACTTAAGTCAGCAGTTTTCTCTGTTGGGAAAGGTTGGGGACAGTTAAGGGGAGTTTCCACTTTGCTTTTCCTAACCCCAGAGGGCCAGCTACAGGGACTAACCAGCTATCTTAGTCTGATTTCTGCTGTCATCCTGTTTCTCACCTCAAATGCTGTTCTCCAGCTCAGGCTTGAACAGATGTCCTTCTTTTTACAGATCCCAGAAATTATACACTTTTGCTGTGACTTCCTCATGTCTTGGGTAGATGAGGAGAACATCCTTGATGTCTACCGGCTGGCAGAGCTCTTTGACCTAAGCCGCCTGACCCAACAGCTGGACACCTACATCCTCAAAAACTTTGTGGCCTTCTCGAGGACTGACAAGTATCGCCAGCTTCCCTTGGAGAAGGTCTACTCCCTCCTCAGTAGCAATCGCCTGGAGGTGTCCTGTGAGACTGAGGTGTATGAAGGGGCTCTGCTCTACCATTACCCCCCAGAGCAGGTTCAGGCTGACCAGATCTCACTACATGAGCCCCCCAAGCTCCTGGAGACTGTGCGGTTTCCCCTGATGGAAGCTGAGGTCCTCCAGCGGCTGCATGACAAACTCGGTCCTAGCCCGCTGAGGGACACAGTGGCCAGTGCCCTCATGTACCACCGGAATGAGAGCCTGCAGCCCAGCCTTCAGGGCCCGCAAACAGAGCTGCGCTCAGATTTCCAATGTGTCGTGGGCTTTGGGGGCATTCACTCCACACCATCTACAGTCCTCAGTGACCAGGCCAAGTACCTGAATCCCCTGCTGGGAGAGTGGAAACACTTCACTGCCTCTCTGGCTCCCCGCATGTCCAACCAGGGCATCGCAGTACTCAATAACTTTGTGTACTTGATTGGAGGGGACAATAATGTCCAAGGATTCCGAGCTGAGTCTCGATGCTGGAGGTAGGAAAGGGCATTTGTCTGTCATTGCCTTTATCTGCAGGTGCCATCATGGTGCAGGAGTTGTGGGCTATGAGAGCTGTTCAGGAGATATATTATCAGGGGTACACCACTGTAGACCTTTCCCCCATCTGTCTTCTGCATGAGCATTACAGCTTCTCTGGGGTGCACTTGTTTCATGTAATAAAATCTAGATGAATTCAGAGAAGGTGGACCATAGTGAAATAAGGAAAAAGGGCATCAGAATTGCTTTCTTGCCTTTTTCTATCCTTGCTACCCAGAAACCTACTTATCCTGGATCCTGGCTACCCTTGCTGTCTGGAACAGGTCACTCCAGCTGCCTGTGTTTGTGGAGCATGCATTACAGTAGGAAGGAGCTGGAGAGTGCTGCATGGACTGGGACAGCTGTTCCTGCCATTTTGTTCTGTCTAGCGCGTCCAAATCTTGTTTCAGCTTCCTTGCTGGTATGGTCTGCTCCTACTCTCCCTAACTGTAGGCCTGGAGAATGTCTTCTGGTTGCTGCCTGCGGGAGCCCACATTTGAGTATAGGGAAATGGGAAGGACCAGCAAGCATTGTTGAGCCTCCTGCTAAATTCCCCCTTGGCCCTATGGTCAGTGAGTATTCATCAGATACTCTGGAAGGAGACACTTTTCCAAGAGGGATTTTGTGGACTACTGTGATCTCCAGGATGCTTTTAGTTCTACCAGTCAATTAGACTATGATCCTGAAGATCCATTTTTTTGGACAGAACAAGAGACATTAGTTCAAGTTCTCAGTGGCCTCAGCTGCGAATAGATTTCGAGGGGCTTCGCCATCATACTTGGTGCATGTAGGAAGCCCCCCCACACACACACACTGGAGGCTAAGGGCTGATGCTATAGAGAGCAGATCTGGGCAGGGTACTGACCTAGTTCATGTTAATATTCATGTTCTGTCTCTGGCTATAAGGGTGAGGGTGGGGTCTGACCTGGCCCTGCCACTTGAATCAAGCATAGTGATCCTGACTAGGAAGAAGACCACCATTCCTTGGGCCTTTTTGGTCTCCTGGCCTGAGGAAGCAGTCAACCTTGATAAATTGGTGAGACTTTTTTTTAATGTGTATGAGTGTATTGCCTGCATGTATGTGAGTGCACATGTGTTGTGCAATGCTGTGGAGGTCAGAAGAGGACATCGGATCACCCTGAAACTGGAATTAAAGATGGTTGTTAGCCAGCATGTAGGTGCTGGGAATTGAACCTGGGACTGCAAGAGCAGTCAGTGCTCTTAACTGATGAACCATTTCTCCAGTCCCTGGTGAGACTTTTTTTTTTTAATTTTTATTTTATGTGTATGCATGTATTGCCTGCTTGTAGGTAAGTGCACCCGTGTCGTGCAATGCCCAAGGAGATCAGAAGAGGCTGTCGGATCCCCTGGGCCTGGAGTTACGGACAGTTGTTAGCTGCCATGTGGGTGCTGGGATTCAAACCCGGGTCTTCTGCAAGAACAACCAGTGTTCTTAATCGCTGAGCCATCTCTCCAGCCCCTCTGGTGAGACTTTTTAACCTGTTTATAATATATTGTAGTTAGTTAAGAGTTCAGAAAGACAGAAATAACTCATTTCCTTCCTATCTGAATACTGTCTCCAGTGAGTATAGCTGTCTTTGGCTTCTCCCTGGTCAAGCCTGAAAGCTTCTTTCTTGAGGGTTCAGTTTCTAGCTGTGTGGCCAAGACCATGAGCAATTCATAGAGCTGCAGATTTCTCCAGAGTACTGACCTTTGGCCCTTGGGAGCTTGGAGTTAGCTCACCATGCCAGGTGGTATCAAGGGAACAGGATTTTCAAGGTAGGACCAGGGTGTCTGTCATCTCTATAGAAAAAGCTTCATCCATCTAACCAACTCAGAACTTCCAAGGCTGAGGGTAAAGTTCAGTATTAACTCAGGGCCTAGCATGGGTTCTGTCTGTGTACTTTTTATGTTTGATTTTTGTGGGGGGGGTGTATTTTTTGTTTGTTTGATTTGTGTTTTTGGTTGAACTTGTTAAGTAATGGGGGATGACCTTGAATTCCTGATCCTCCTGCCTCTACTTCCCAAGTGCTGGGATTATAAGCATGTGACACTGTATTTCCTGAACTCTACAATTTGAATGTTCTAAATTTGGTTCTTTCTCCCTATTCACCTTTCATAGTTTACCAGTCTTAGAATCTATGAGCTCTCAGAATATAAGAGAATAAGATTTTTTTGTCTTTTTGAAGCAGGGTCTCCCTGTAGCCCCAGCTGTCCTGGAACTCACTATCTAGACCAGGCTGGCCTTGAACTCACAGAGATCTGTCTGCCTCTGCCTCCCAAGTGCTGGGACTACAGGTGTGCGCCACTATGCCCGGCTAAGAATAAGATTTTTATAGTAAATGAAGTTTTGCATTCTGAGGAGTTAATACCAGATTATGTTTTAAAGCTCTGATAAGAGAAACTAAAAGCCGGGCGTGGTGGCGCACGCCTGTAGTCCCAGCACTTGGGAGGCAGAGGCAGGTGGATCTCTGTGAGTTCAAGGCCAGCCTGGTCTACATAGTGAGTTCCAGGATAGCTGGGGCTACAGGGAGACCGTGTCTCAAAAAGGCCAAAAAAAAAAAAAAAAAGAGAAACTAAAAAATTATCTCTTGAAGCAAATTTATTTTGCCTCTGTTCCTACTGTTTTTTATTTTTTGAGTTCATCTATATTACTGTATTGGTTTCACCTCACTACAATGAAATATCTGAAGTAACTAATTGATAGAAAGAAAAGATTTAAGGCCAGGTGTGATGGCGCACGCCTTTAATCCCAGCATTCCGGAGGCAGAGGCAGGCGGATCTCTGTGAGTTCAAGGCCAGCCTGGTCTACATAGTTCCAGGACAGCTGGGGCTACAGGGAGACCCTGTCTCAAAAAAAAAAAAAAGATTTAGGGGCTAGAGGGACTGCTCAGCAGTTAAGAACACTGAATATTCTTGCAGAAGACCTGTGTTCGATTCCCAGCACGCACATGGCAGCTAACAACTGTCTGTAACTCCAGTTCCAGGGAATCTGACAGCCTCTTCTGTCCTCCATGGGCATTGCACTGCAGGCATAACACTCATACACATAAAATAAAAATAAAAAAACTAAAAAGGTTTATTTAGTGTACACTTAGGGAGGTTGAAAGTCCATGCAGTGTATGGGATATGGCCACTGCTCTGTCCTCTGTAAGGGTGGATGGCAGTAGTGGGAGCCTGTGTTGAACCTGGTGATCACACCTTGATCCTGGAAAGAAAGAGAAGAGACTAGGACCACACAGTTCTTTCTCTTCTTCTTCTTCTTCTTTTTTTTTTTCCCACATAGTTTTAATTTCTAGGTTCCTTTCCATTCTTATCTATCACTTCTCTCTTTCTTTAAAACCATAAGACGCGGGGCTGGAGAGATGGCTCAGCGGTTAAGAACACAGACTGTTCTTGAAGAAGACCTGGGTTTGACTCCCAGCACCCACATGGCAGCTAACAACTGTCGGTAACTCCAGTACCAGGTGATCCAACAGCCTCTTCTGTCCTCCATGGGCATTGCAGGACACGGATGTACTTACCTGCATGCAGGCAACACACACATACATATAAAATAAAAAATATATTTTTTAAAAATACTAAGGACAAAGGAAGGAAAACCATGATGATTATAATCTTTTTTTTGGTCTTTTTGAGACAGGGTCTCCCTGTAGCCCCAGCTGTCCTGGAACTCGCTATGTAGACCAGGCTGGCTTTGAACTCACAGAGATCTGCCTGCCTCTGCCTCCCGAGTGCTGGGATTAAAGGCGTGTGCTGCCACGCCCGGCGATGATTATCATCTTTATAATATATGTTTAATGTTATAAATGTATGTATATCTTTTTCTTACATTTTTAATTGTTTTTTTACAAATCTTTTACATCTTGATCATGTGTGTGTGTGTGTGTGTATATATATATATATATGTATGTATTTTTTTTTTATCTTTTTGAGACAGGGTCTCCCTGTAGCTGTAGCCCCAGCTGTCCTGGAACTCACTGTATAGATCAGGCTGGCCTTGAACTTGCAGAGATCTGCCTGCCTCTGCCTTCCAAGTGCTGGGACTACAGGCATGCACCACCATGCCCGGCTCATCTTGATCATATCTATACCCCCTCCCCTATTGATTCCTTCCTATAGCCCCCCACTGGTTTTCATACCTATCATGTATGTTAAGGCCCATCAAGCCAAGTTTCTGTTCCCTAATGTCTCTTAGTGTGAATCTATTCACTGGAGCCTGGTCAGCCTATTTAGCATCACTTCCTTAAAACCAACTCTCCCTTTCCCTGTAGTTATCTATTGTCTGGAATTTCTCAGCTAGGCTTGGGGCTTCTTATCCATTTCCCCTTTTCTGTACTGGGTTTTTGTCTAGTTTGAACTTTCATGGGTCTTGTGCATTCTGTCACCCTTGCTGTAAGTTCATATGAGTAACTTCCCAGTTGTCTGGAAAAATAACTGTTTCCTTGTGATCTTCTACCACCCCTAGCTCTTACAGTCTTTCTGCCCTCTCTTCTGCAATGGTACCTGAGCCGAGGTTTGATATAGGTGTCCTACCTAGAGACACGTACTTTGTAGTCTCTTACTCTCTGCACTTTGGCCAGTTGTGATTTTCTGGGTTAATCATCATCTCTTACATGAAGAAGTTTCATTGGTAAGAATTGAGAGATACATTAGTATTCTTTCTGCCTCCTTTTCCACTATGCTCCCTGAGCCTTAGGTGTAGAGACGTTACATTGACTTTTTCTTTCTCATTTTTTTTTTAATCTTTTTGAGACAGGGTCTCCCTGTAGCTCCAGCTGCCCTGGAACTCACTTTGTAAACCAGGCTGGCCTTGAACTCACAGAGATCCGCCTGCATCTACCTCCCAAGTGCTGGGATTAAAGGTGTGTGCCACCATGCCTGTCTTTTTTTTTTTTTTTTTTTTTAAGACAGGGTCTTACTCTGTAATTCTGGCTGACATGGAACTCTGTAGGCCAGG